TATAAATTATGATGATATGAGGCTCAGAGGGTTTTCCAAAAAAACAGTACATATTTAATAATTATTATCATTGTGATTTCAAAACAATAAGTTATTCTTGGATAACTTTTGAAAAATAAAAAGAACTTGGTTAAGAGAAAAGATATAATATTAAAATCTTGAAATTATCTATTAATCAGAGATTAAATAAGTACGATTTGAAATTATAAAATAATAGTTAATTTTCATGATATCAAATTAGTAAACTATATATAATCGTTATAATTTCTAGAAAGTATTAATCAAACTATCGATCTCGCTTAATTAATTACAAAATAACATGTTTCTAACCCACTTTATATTCGCCACTATACCATTTACCAAGAAATAATACACTTTCAAGCCTAATCAAGCGATTTTTATTCACCTTAGCGCCATCTTTTAATTGCATCCATTGTCCATTATCAATCAAAATTCCAAATATGAGAATATCTAAATAGCAAGTAAATTACAAATCCAATTAAGTTAAATGAAGCAAAAAAAACTGTTATAAATAACAAAAATCTATTTCAAAACACTTAAATAACCATAATACTTGCTAACATAACTTCATTCAAAAATTTATTTTAAAGTTTTTATCATATCATTTATATAATGTAATGTTCCAATTGTAATTAATTCAATTTATAAAATTCAATAAAAAATCTATAATATAGTATTATATATTTTCCTTGAACAAGTAATTCGTCCATATTGTGTCTGAATTCATCAAAATATATTCATTGTGAAAAATCAAAAATCTTATAATATTCAAAATTCATAATACACCAAATTCTTTTAAAAACAAAAAACCTCTATTATTGAGAAATATCTTAAATTATATTGTTGTAGTGTTTTAGGCATTTTAATATGTGTCATCTAAAAAGGAGATATTTTAATTATTAATTTTTAGAGCTACAGCCATTCTTCTTCTATAAAAAGATAAAATAATTTATTATGATAAATAATTAGATAGTTATAATAAATCCTCATTCTATTTTACAATGAAATGCTATAGATCACATCCTTCATCAACAATATGATCTATTAATGGTAAATATTTGATTTTATATGCACTCTTCCTATTGATATAAATAAAGAATAATCATGTCTTCATAATTTTGGTTTTATTGCTCATTCAAACATCTAATACTGACATAATTAAATCTTTTTATAATAATGCATTTATAATTCAAACCTCTCAATAGAATGTTTTACTTGCCTTTGAACTTAATACATTAACATCGCAATTTTTGCAATTAGTTTTAACTTAGATCATTTTTATGTGTTTAAAAATGTTTTAAACAAATTATTTTAGTAAATTAAATGGAATTGATTTTTTATACACTGGATCTTGTCAAAATGGGGCACATTAATTGTATATAGACTCTGGAATACTAATAGAAGTTCTTAAATAAATTGCAAATCATTTTTTGGATCAGAATTAAAAGGAATAGCATTAGAATATAATCTAAAATTATTAAAAAATGATAACGAAAAGTAAGTAAGAGAACAAAAAACAATCTCAAAATTACTACATTAAATTATGAAAGTTGATGATTAAAGTCCTGTAGAATTAAATTAGGCTTAGTATGCCATTAGAGAGATAAATAAAAAGATAGTAAAGTAAATAGACAAAGATAAAGATATATATAAAGAAACCACAACTCTTGAGTGTATCAATTTCTTAGAATCTAATTAATCCAAAAAACCTCTCATTCAAAAGTGTAAAATATGAGTAGTATTAATTTTTTCTACTGTCCTAATATTTTATCAATACCTTATTATCTTGAACTTTACAATATCTCAAAAACTTCTAATAATCTAGAATAAAGTTAAAATATCTGTTAGACGTGTATTAATCCTGATTTAAATTAACCATATATTTAAACTATTTAAAACTCCAGCTTCTGGGTATAAATGCATATCAAATTTAAATAAATTTACTTTAGAAATCTACATTATAATTAGAATAAAAATATCAGGAGCTTAAAATTTTTTGTCATAACATTATGAAATTCCTTAGCTAAATAACGAAATTACAGATCTAAAATCACAACAACTTTAGATTTAATTTATTTCTTATTAAATAAAATAACTAGTGGCTGATAGAAAATATTGAATTTCCTAATCCTTTCTATAATGCTGTTCAATATTTATTCTTAATTCTAAAAGAAACTCACATTATTAATTAATATTGTTAAAATGAAAAATTTGATACCTTCTCAGCATTCATCTAAATATATATCTGATAGTTTTTATAAGTAAATTGTTGCAAAGCATTAAAAAATAATGGTTCTTGATTTAATTAACTGAAAAAAATCTCAAAAGAATTTTCTTTTTGCAATAATTTAATTATATCTAAATCATTAAAAATGATTAAAACAATTCTGTAACAGTTATTTTTTTACAAAAAGAACAAAATTTGATCATCAACCATTTATTCTTTTTATTTAAGAAATTACTTAGACTCATAAATCATTTATAATGGTTTTTGAATTTGAGTTAAAAAAGTAAGATATTTAAAACTTTATTATTTTTTATTTAATATTTGATAAAAGTAATAGAAATAGAAAATTCTTAATTATTTAATAAAATGAATTTCTGTATAGATCACAATCAGTTTTTAATTTCTTCAATATGTATTGCATCTCATAAATGTTAAAGAAAGTTATGTATGTAGTGTATTTGTGATCATAATGTGGAAAAGAAATAAATTTACAATTTTTAGAAATTTCAAGAAGCTATTGAAAAGAAATTTAAGCAATATAAATTAGATGATAGAAGTGAAATAAATAATCTACGTCAGAATTTTAAATCCTTAATTTCTCAAACTGAAATTATGATGAAGAATTTGTTGGAAAACTTAAAGGATTCCATCAAATAAATATTTGACACAATTGAATAGGAAGATCAAACTTATATACGTCTTATTAACTAAAATATTAGTATTGGAGAGTTTTCAAACACTGATTTGGAAAAATTAGTTTTAATTTTAGAAGGAAGTATTTTAGAAAATTGGAATACTAAAAAAGATGCTTATTTTAAAAAATTGGAGAATGCTAAGAATTAGTTAGACCTAGAAACAAAAAAATTTAGTGAAAATTGTATAATAGAGATAAAGGACATAATTTCAATAATCAAACAATAATTTAATGTAAATTTTTTAAGCATTTAATCTTTGGAACAAAAATCAATGATTAATGAAGAAGGGAAAGAAACTAAAGAAATTGAGAGTTTTATTTTTGATTTTGATTAAAAAAGATATATTTGCACAAAATTTGAAATAAATTTGACTAAAGATAAAGATTTAATTTATACTAAAGATGGATCAATTTTGAGAATGTATTTTTCATATTCATTCAGTTAGTGATAAATCTAAGAACTCTTTTTGGTAAAAAGATGTCATGACAAACTTAGAATAAATAGCATATTTATAATGGGAAGGAGAATATAATAAAAATGATATTAAAATTGGCAAATGGACAGCAATATTTAAAGGTGTAAAAGATATAGGAGGATAGTACAACAATGAAGGAAAAAAATAAGGAAAATGGAAGGAAATATTTTAAAATTATTGGAGGTAAATATTAATTGATTTTTATAGTCAAACAATTGGATATGAGGTTGGAGAATATTTTAATGATTAGAGAATAGGAATTTGGAAGTATATATTTTAAGAAAAAGAGATGTAAGAAATTCTCTTATTAAATATATTAGGGGGGGAGGTGAGTATAATTAAATTGGATAAAAATTAGGGAAATGGATTGAGTTATCAACAAATACTTCATATTTTTCTTTAGTCACTTATGATGGTGAATATGGAATGAATGGATAGAAAAAAGGTAAATGGAAGATAAAGTATGATGGATAAAAAATGTAAATAAAGTTTAATTATTTTTAGTGGTGGTGGAACTTATGAGGAATAAGAAGGAGTTTAAAAAAAGAATGGGAAATGGATTGAGTTGATAGAAGGATTTACAGATAACTATTAGGTCATTTATAATGGTGAGTATATTAAAGGGGACAAAAAAGGTAAATGGGAAATTCTGTCTAAAAGAAAAGGCATTTTTTCGAAATATAGTTAAATGTAAGAAATCTTATAATATATTTTAGTGGTGGAGGATGGTATAATGATTTAGAAGGAAGTTAAAACAAGATTGGGAATTGGATTGAAATAAGAGAGGAATTAAATGATAGTAGAAAAATAACATATAATGGGGAATATTCTATGAAGGGATAGAAAAAAGGTAGATGGGATATTATTTACAAAGGGAAATAAATGTAAATAAAACTTATAAAATATTTTAGTGGTGGAGGATTGTATGATGAATAAGAAGGGAGTTAAAAAAAGATTGGAATGTGGATTGATTTAAGAGAGGGTTTTTATAATTATAGTTAAATAATTTATAAAGGTGAGTATAATAATAAAGGATAGAAGATAAGGAGATGGGATATTATGTATTGTTTTGCAGGGGAAAAAGATTATCAATTGATGTAAAAATAATAATTTGATATTCTATTAGAGGTGGTGGATTATATGATGAACAAATAAATGGCTCAAAAAAGATTGGTGAATGGGTTGATATATGGGAATGCTTTGGATATAATAGGGAAATTATTTATTAAGGACAATATAATATTAAGGGTTAGAAAAAAGGTTAATGGGATATTCTATTTCGAGAATATAGAGGAAACGAACCAATCTTAATGTAATAATAATTAAAGATTGTATTAGAGGTGGTGGATAATATGATGAATAAGATGGAGGTTCAAGAAAGATCGGTATGTGGGTTGAGATATCTGATGAATTTAGATTCAATAACTAAATAGCTTACAGTGGCGAATACGATACTGCAGGTAAAAAAGTTGGAAAATGGGATTAGATTGATTTAAAGGGAAATAATTTTGGTAATAAGAGAAAAAGCAAATTAATGAAATGAAATATTAAATATGAATACGAAATTATTTATTTTATTGCTTGATGAAGATGTTTTCTATGAAGAAGCAGCAGAGAATATGTAATGAGTTTCAGACTGAAGGATTTATTGCAAAACACAAAGGCTATTTTATTAATCTTAATTTATTCTTTTTTAACCTTTTGATTAGAATTTAGGAGGGTTAGCATGAAAAAAGTAGAATAAATTAAGACATTACATATATTAAAAACTATGAGATTAAAATTAAAAAAATCAATTTTTATTTTTAAATTTTTTATATGTTTGCATTTAATAAATAATCATCTTCGCCAGAATTGTTTATATCAAAAAAAAATTGTAATTGTAATTTATCATATTATTGAAAAAGATATCAAAAATATAATAATATATAAATTTTGTGATAAAAGTTAAAATTTAAAATAATTATTTTAATCTCTCTTAATATTTATAATATTGCGTCATTCTTTCAGTATTTTGAATTCCAATTTATAAATTCCCCCAATCCAGATTTCTGATCAGAGTCGTGAATATTATCGTATTATTCTTGATCAAATTTAATGAAGCTATCATTTATTGATTTTCTAACAAGCCATCTTTTAATTTAAATAAAAATCTCTCTCATTGAATCAATTTAATTTTAATTGTAAAAATTATTCGTTTATTCTTTGGTTAAGCAAATAGGTTTGTTTATTATAATAATTTGGTATAGATCATAACTAAGAAAAAGGTTTGAACTTAATCTCAATTCACAAATTAACCCTAGCATAATAATTATTAAATTTATTATGTCTTAATAGTTGATTTCTAATAAAAGAATTTAGTTTTCCATAAGTAGAAAAGACAATAAGAATGAATACATAATATTCTGACTTACTTCAAAGTTATTCAGTCTAACCCAATCAGGTATAAAAATAGCTTATGGATTATTTTTGATTTTTATACAGAATTAGAATATGTAGATAATAATAATGGATGGAACTGAAAATTTCTATTTCTGAACTAGAGATAATTTAAAAATTGCCATCGTTTAAAAAATATACAATTTTTATTGGATATAAGGATTTAGATTTGAGATATTATTAATAAAATTTAGGATTATTTTTATTAGACTCTTTAATTTGTCTATCTAATTAAATATTTGAATATTCATCATCTATTTAGTGTAATCACTCATCCAATTAATCATATCAGCATAATTGAGTAGTTCATGATAATAGCTGAAAAGTTCCTTTACTTTTTTGCTCTTAGTAATAAGTTCTTTATGCAAGTGTTGTTATTGATAGTTTAGTACCTAATTATTAGATCGCAATATTTTTATAATTAGAATTTTATTCAAGATTAATTTTATTTATGACCTTCTTGAAATTTTATAAGTTAACAAACTAAAAAAATAAATTACATTTAGTTTATTATTACATTTTATTAAAAAGAAATATCTCATGGAAACTCAGTATTGCTAAAAAGGTTTTAAAACATATTTGGATCTAATTAATTAAAAATATAGAAAGCAAATTATTTAGAAATGTGTTGTTGATTTAAAGGTCAATTTTTACAATTTTAATTTAAATTATCCAAAACTTCTACCATTAACGCATTAGTAATATAAATTCTTAGTCTATTTTACAAACTTTGCTTTATTATTTTCTTAATTATTTATAATATTTTCAGTTTTAGTGTGAGTCCCTTAAAGATTTAACAAAAATAAATGAAATTTATTTTCTCTTAAAAAAAATCAATAATGTGAAGCACTTTTTTATTAATTGAGCATAGATATAAAATTCCATTTGTTTCAAAAAAAGTTAAAAAATAATTTCATTGACAAACTAACACCCACTCAAAAAGTTTGGAGAAATAATCCCCTGAATAACCCTATTCTAATCTAATTAAACAGGTATTTTAGATTACTTAGAGAAACTTCATGACATCTTTCTTTCCTATTCTTTAAATTACTTTTTTTAAATTCAATTATTCTTTGATTCTTTTAACTTCACCTATGAATTATACTATTGCTCCTTAAACAAACAAATTTTTTTCTGATTGTAATCTATATTATTATAATCTACATAATATTTTAAATATTTAATTTAATATTTAAATAATATATTTGCTATCTATTATATTATCACTTCAATCTTTATAAAAAAGATAATATGAATTTGTTGTAATATATATAAAATTTGTTCTACGAATTGGTAATTACTTTAACTCTTTCTTTAACAATCTTCTCTCTCTTGCTAATAATTCTACTCCTATCTGTATTAAAAATAATGATCCTTCCTTGTATATCAAGTATTTCTATTCACTTTCATTTCTAGTTATTAAGAATAGGAAATAGGAAAATTCATAGGATATTCAAATTGTTGTTAGTTTTTTGTCAATCAATTATTTAATAACACCTTATTTTTTAACAATTCATTTATAATTAATTTATGAAATATTAGTTAAAAGGTATTTAATGATCCAAAAGGTTAAAATAGAAAAGAAAATAGCTTTAAATCTAGTAAATAAATTTAAGCAAAATCACTAAATTTAACAATAATCCTCACTATAATTTCTTTTCCTACTAAATCTAAGAGATATTTGATTAATTTCCACATTATTCTTAATTACAAATGATTCTCACACCATATTAGTTTACCCGTATTTAATTATAAATAAATTATATTTTATCTTAGTTTCATAATTAACTAAATACATCTATAATCCTTCCAATTCCATATCAGTTTCATCTAGGTCTCCTTATATTTTAAATTGACAAATTTACCTTTAAATGTATTAATAGCTGGATCTGTGAAATAATTATCAATTCCTAGCACATCAGTTACCATGTATAAAATAAAAATGATTATGCAAATTTATTTAATTCTGTAAACTCTTCATTAATAAAGCCATAATTATTATTATACTAAACGAATTCTCCCTTTTAAAATCTTTCAGCAATCCAAAAACAAACTAAATGCAATTAAATATAAAATACTTTTTGATTCTTACAAAATAAAAAAATCACTATAATTTACATTTGGTATTCTAATATTTTTATTTTTTTAAAGTGATTTTTCTTATAGTTCATTAATAAACTTATTCATAAGTCTTTAACTAATTAAATGTGATTTCCAATTCATTATAACACTATTTTTAATATGGTATGCCACCGATTGGTGTTTTTATAATATAAAATTCATTAGAATTACCACTTAGTTTCTTCATCAAAAATATATCTTTTCTCCTACCAAAAACACATGATTTTCTGTTCTTATGCAATTCCATTCTCCTTCATGATAACTAATAAAATCTTATGGACATTAAATTTTATTTATATTTTGAATATTATTATCAAATGCATCTTATTTAATTTCTACTCTTAGAACTTTAAATTTTAATAAACACTTTTAACATTTTGTTAATTTTTAATATCATCAAAATTTTTACAAAATTCTCCCACAGCATCTTCTTATTCTCTTTAAATACTATTTTATATTCTTGATGGTATGAATGTCTCCTGATAAGATTGATTTTCCATAAACGCCATAATACTTATATCTAATTCCAAACAAATCTCTTTACTATAAATCTCTTAATTATAAATCTAAGTAATAAATTAATCTACAAGAAGACTTCTCATAAATTTTCTTAATCTTCTCGTACATGACTGTAGTATATTCTGTAAAATTAAGGGCTATTAATTTTATACTGTTGTTAATCAATTCCTCAATAACATCTTAAATGGCTTCATCAGGATAATTATCTTCCCAACTTCCATTATATTTTTTACCATGACGTGATGCATCACAAATTAATATTGCAGTTCTTTAATCACTTGACCAATCTAATTTACAAACTTATTTGATTGCTCCTCTTATGTCTTCTGCTTCATCATCTCCTCAAAAATATTCAATATAATCAAACCATTTTTTAAGTACATAATAAACTTAAAAAATGGAAATTCGATATTTTCCTAATTTTTTTAATTTACCTTTCTTTTAATAGCCAACCGATGCCCATTTAATTTAAGATGATGAATAGTTAATTATGCTTTAGATTAAATTTTTGATTTTTAATAAAATATTTATATTCAGTAGCATCAACAATAAAGCAGACATCTTTAGAATTCTTTTTTAATTTTAATGAATCTACTTTTATTAACTCTTCTGATAATTCCACTTTTATTACCTCTTCATATAATTTCGCTTTTTATTTTTATAATCTCTTTAATATCTCTATTGTTTTTTCTCCTTCTATCTCAAAAAAAGGAAGTGTCATAATAAATTACTCATCAAATGATTCAGATTCATCGTTTAAAATTGTTTTGAAATTAGTTATTATAATTTTTCCTCCTCTAACTCTTTTTTTTTAACTTCACATAATACATCTTCCAACCCTTATTTTTTTAGATGACGTAATTCATCTTCCAACACTTTTTTTGATAAAAAGATTTTTACCTTTAATTTTACATTCGTTAGTAAAATGTTAATTTTAATAATTTTTCTTATTTGATATAGCGGAAACTAAGAAAATAGTATTCATTGATTACATAATGCTGGAAATTTTTGATTATCCATATTTAAATTAATATTTTATTGAAAAAAAAACTATTATTACTAAAAAAAATAATTTAATAGAATTAACGTTTATACATAATGTTATATTAAATTTAGTATTAATTTTTTGTATATTTATTTAAATTTAAGCATTCTAAATAATCAATTGATTGTCTTTAGATTGGTTAATAAGAATAAATTAATTATAAATCTAAGAAGATATTCATAGAAGGATTTATATTTAATAGATAATAAATATTATTCATTTAAGCCAAATATAATAAGAACATTATAATATTGTTTAGACTATGAATATTCGTCGCATTTATAAAAGATACTAAAAATTAGGACTGATAATTTTTTATAAACATTATATTAGAATTATAGTAAAAAAGATCATTATAGATCTTGATTTATTAAATTATATCAGATGATATATAAATATTTTAATTTGAGATTTAGATAATTCTTACACCATCTTACATGATTTTTTTTAAGTTTCATCTGAATATAATAGATTATCATTAGTTTATTTTATTATTATCTAGGTTAAAATCTTAGTTATTAAGGAATGATTATAATCTTTTCAAATTCTTGATTTTGTTAATAATTGTATCATCATAAATTTTAATAAAAAATCCATTGAATGAATTTTAATACTTTGTTATTTCTTATTTATTAAATAGAATGATGTATTATATTATATTTGTAAAGATAAGGAATTTAAATAGTATTATGATTGCTTTAATAAACATTTAAATTAATAATAGAATATTTTAATTACAATTAAGTTGATTTATAACATAATTTTTGAATGGAATTGCAGCATACAAGGATTATTTAATTACCAATCTTTATATATAATTTAAAGATTTTATTTACAATCTCTTGGTATTTTTAATAGCTTATAAATAATTTATAAGCCTTAATAAAGATTTAAATTAAATTATTCTGCATGTTAGATGAGCAATATGTCTTAATGTTTAAAACATGCTTAAATGTATGTCGAAAACATAATATAAATAAAGTTGCTGAGTTTTAATATGAAGTATGTAAATCAATTTCTTACTAAAAGCATAATGACAAATTATAAAAATTTCATAATACAATGTCATAATTTCATTTTTAACACTTAAAAATAAACATGAACATAATAAATTAAAAATTATAAGATTTAATGATATTTATTTTTATCACTTAAGGGCTTCGTAATCAGTTTCTGATAAAAATTACTGTGAAAGTTTATCAAGCTCTTATGTCAACTACTATAAATTTATTTTCATACTCTTTCAAATATCTGACTTATATTCTCAAATTATTTATGTATGTTTTTAATACAAACATCATCCTTAAATAGTTCGAATTCTTCTTTACTTAATGGGAATTCATCTATTCTTTCATTTAATTTTTGTTCTTGTTGGTTTACTAAAGCCTCTTGTTATGTTTTCAATTATGGTTATCCACTCAGTTGAGTTGTTTATTGTAGTTATACAGTTTTTTGCGTTTGATTTACTAAACTTTATTTCTGTTAGTTAACTCTAGGATTTTATGAATTCGAAAAGCAGGCCCCCATTAATTTTTATTTTAGATTTAATATTATAATCTAATTTTTAATATGAACAAACTTATAATATTTAAACCTATTATTATATTATATATATTAAAGTCTTAATGATAATTATATACTTGATGTTTTCATAATTGCTCATAATTCAACACTTAAATCGTATAATATTACTAAAAGGTATATTCTTTGATAGGTTGAATCAAGGATTAAAATCTAAGCTTAATTGATAAGAACTTTGGCTAAAAATTATTCTTATTTTTTAGAATTTCTAATGTTATAAAATATCAATGGATTAATAATTAATATACAATAGATTCACAAGTCTCCATCTCTACTTTCCTTATCTTCTTACTAAATTTATTATCGATTCTTATTCACACAAACACTCCTAGAAATTATCTATTAAAGATTCAATATTTATTGAATGCCTTCGATATTTGGTCTATTGCTATTAAGATAATCTAATTTTTGAATCTTTTTCTGAATAAATATAGACTTAATTTTTAATAAATAAACTATATATCTATCTATTAAATCATAATGTTTTTATAAATCGCCTTTATTTGTATATACACTACTAAATCATAATTAAGCCATTATAAGTGAAATTGAGAATTTAAAGTACAAAGAAAATAAAATTCCTCTTGAAAGGAAAACAATATTCTAGGTTTTTTATTATCATTTCTTTCTTAATGTTTTTAAAAAAAATATTTATGATCACTAGCAGCAATAAGAGTAATAAGAATAAATTAAAAACTTAAAAAATAAATTATAATTTATTATCATTCAAAACACTAGTATGTTATTTTTTATGTCATTTTGATTTTGGGTTCCTTTCTAAAATACCTTTTTCAAAATAAAATCTAATTTAATCAATAATTATTTGAAGAAAACAATTAATAAGTTTAACAATAATATACCCATTTAAATAAAGCCAAATTTTATTATCGTTTCATTTGAAACATAAGTGATATTCTAATCAATATAAATTAAGCTGGTTCCAGTAAATAATGATATTGCACTTTCATTTAATATTGAGATCAACTTTTATATGGGGTTGCTTTAATCATATATAAAAATTATGAAGCTTTAAGTTATACTGATAATTAATAGAAATAAAATTTACAGAGTAGGGTTCTCTTAGAAAAAGATCAAAACAAAATTGTAAATAAATTTTCTACCTAAATCTAATGAATAAAATTTATTAGTATTTGAATCATATTTGTTTGATGTTTTGCTTTTTCTACTTAAAAGGTTGAGAATATAATGGCCATATACACATAAAATCATTGTGCCTATTATAGTTTGGAAAATTGCTCTAGTGAATTTACTTGAAACAAAACGTACTTATAGAAATGATTTAAAAAGTAAATCCCATGCATTTAATATCAAGAAATTCTTGATAATAATATTAATTTTTAAACTAATTGTATTTTTTAAGCATAATCTAATAAGTTTTATTAATTTAATAAATAGAGCTTAAATTTTCTATTATGAAACTTGAAAATAATCATAAATCTATTATTTTAACATAATTTAATGAAATAATCTTTATAAAGGATTGCATAAATATAAAAGAAGTAGTAATCCTGTACATTAAAATATCTAAGGAAGTAAACTGGTCATGATATCTGGATCTAAATCATAAAATTAAAATTTTCCCTCTAAATTATTGGTTTCTGTCAATCCTAATATTTCATTGTAGTAGTAATAAAAATCAAATTTTTAAAAATATGTACTAACACTTAACATTTCTGAGGCTTCAAAATAAATGTAAAGATTTTCTGGAAATTCTACATTAATAAATTTCAAGTAAGATTGTTATTATAGTACATCAAGTGTTTCTAAAAAAAAGGATGAATCTCCAGCAAATGTAGATAAAATGCTTACTGAAATAGCTCCATACATGAAGACTTTATTAGTATTTTGCATAAACTAGGAGCTTTACCTTTGCGAATCGGACATAACTATTGGTTAATTTAACTAAAGAGTCACTTATTTATTTTAAACACACTGATTATAAGAGTTAATGATTTCTGATTTCAAAATAATAAAGAAATTTGGTTTTTCATCTATTGAGACTAAGTTTTCAATCTCAATAAAGTATTAAACAAAACTAAGGTTTTGAGAGATTGCTTAGGTTGAATTAAGATTGATTTTATATTATTCTTCTTTTAGATTAGTAAACATGAATTGAAAAATTAATTAATCTTATTCATCTTCATCAAAAAATTTAAATTTAACTTGTTGATCAAATTATATTCCAATATATTATTTAGTAAATGTCTTATTTAAGTAATTAACTAACATAATTGGAGCAGGAGAATAAACACATTCAAATTCACGACATATCCAAAAATTTTCATCAATTTTCAATATCTATAAAGAAGTATTTTCAGTCTTCTTATTTTTAATACATAAATTATTTTCATCATCATAAGAATATTCTGGATTGCATTAAAAACAATATCCTAACTCACAAATTTAACAATTCTATATACATGGTTTTTCAATACAAATATCACCAAAAAATACCATTCCTTAAGGACATTCATCTAAACATATTCCTTTACTACATAATTTACAGTTTTTTCTACACTAAAATTAACATTAAAAACAACCATCATAAGGTTCATCATTGTAATCATCGCATTCTTCAAAATCTTAGATAACTATTCCATCTCCACAAATAGGTTAACACTAAGATTGTTAAATGAAAAAACCTTCTTCACATTTTAAGCAAAATACATTATTGCAAAATAAACAAAATTATGTACATTCAATTTTACATTAAGAACAACCATCAAGATCTTAAGTATTACCATCATCACATTATTCTTTTGAATATGGAACAATGATTTTATCACCACAAAAAGTTTCACATTAGTTTTTTTAATTTAAAATATATCCTTCTTTACATGCCTAACATATTCCATAAGAACAAAAAAGACATTCAGGAAAGCAAGAAATTTTACAATTATAACAATTACTAATTTAATCTAAATTTCTATCATCACATTCTTCAAAAATTTAAATTAAACCATCACCACATTTTGGTTTAATTTAACTAATATATTTAAATTGATCAATTTCAGATAAAATACATTAATTGTTAAACAAAAAGGATCCTTAATTACAAAGATAACATATTTAATTTACACAATACAAGCAATTTTAATCACATTACTAATATTATTTACATATCTGTGTTTATTATTGATTTTAATCTCCACATCTATCAATAGGAAAATTAACTCCATCTCCATCCAAACAATTTAGACCAAAATAACCTTATTTACATTGTGTACATTTTTAATTGACCTATATCTAACAATTTTCAAAACTTTATATTATATTGTTAATTGTACAAATTCCAATAGTTGATTCTAGTTTACCATGCTGACATAATATACATTGATCATTAATAAATATTTTACAATCATATTAATGGTTTTAAACAGTATATAAGGATTATATTTATCTACATTCATTAGTATATTCTAGATTATAATCTAATATACATTTTATACACTTTCCATTTTCACAAATTTAACAATTCTTTGCACATTAATATTAACATTAATAACATCCGTCATAATCAAATAAATTATTATCTTCACATTATTCATTTCCTACAATTAAAGAATCTCCGCATATTGGAACACATTAAAAATCTATAATTTTCCATCCAATTTCACATTCAATGCATTAATCATTTAAGCAAATTTTACAATTTGTATTACATAGGAGTTCTTAAAGATTTATATTAAAAATCTAGTCATCATAATAATCTTGTTGAATCTAATAAATTGTTTCTATTGAAGAAAATTTCTAAAATTTATCTAAAAATAAATCTTCTTCAACTACATAAAATTATTAAATCAAATCAAAATAGTTTTCATAAAGAGATTTTATATGCTAAGAAGTACTTAAGGATGTGAAATAATTAAAGCCATCAGCTAATGTTTTATTTGACAATTATTCTCCACAATATAATTCAAATTCTTAAAAACCAAGATTTAAGTATAAACTAAATGAGCATTATGTTTTTAGATAACAATTATTTAAATTTAAATAATATTGTTCCTTACATTCATAACATAATCCAAATTTACATAGTATACAGCTATCTTAACAAGATTATTGACATTTACCCTAAGAATCTAAAATAAATTAATCATGGCATTCTAAACACAAATTAAAAATTTTTAATTTACAAGTTAGTTCTTCTTAAACCAATTAATGCATTCTTAAACATTACCCATTCTAAATATGATAAGATTCTTCGCATTAGAGACAAAATCCTTCTTTACATTTTAAGCAATATTCTCCACATTAACTTTTGCAATTCACACAATTTTTTTCAAAAGAATCACATTCTTCATTGTGAATACATATTCCATACCCGCATTATGAAATACATTAACTTTTGAATTAATCAAAATAATAACCATATTAAGTGTAAATTTATATATGATTAAAAAATTCTTAGCAATTTTAAGGCTTGATAAAAACACAATTAAAGCAAGATATATCATTTACTTCGCATTATTCATCTTATGTAAGAATACCATCACCACATTAAGATTTACATTCATATTATTCATTTAAATAATAACCTTGAAAGCATGTAAGGCAAAATTCTTCATTGCAAATTTCACAATTTTTATAACAAATTCTACAAATCTCTTTATATTTATTTAATTAATGTTCAATATCATGCCATCCATAAGTGACATTTCGTTTTTATTTTTTATCTATTTATATAAAATGATCAATATTATTGGAATAAACGATTTTATCAAATATATTAAAGATTTCATAACATCTAGATTATATTAATTGATAACCATTCTAACAATCTTAACAAACTCCATTAATACAAGTTAAACAAGATTTTTAACATATTAATAAACAGAAGTGACATCCATCATCATATATTAAATTTTCATCATCACACTCCTTTTCATACATAATTAACATATTTCCACATTTAGAATAGCATAAATAATCATTAAAACTGTATTCTTCCTTACATTTCAAACAACCTTTTCCTCTTGTATCACATTTATCACAAGAATTTTAGCATTTTGGTTAACAATTTTGACATCCTCTGTATGGTAAATTGAAAGAATCTTCACAATATTCATTTTCTGCTTTAATAGAATCCTAACATTTTGGTTTACAAATATTATCATCCTAAAGCTCTTGCCCAGCTTTACAAGCTAAACATTTTTAGTTTAGACAATTAATGCATTATATAGGTTGACATTTAAAATCTCCATTTTCATTAAAATACGACCTTTCATTATTATAATAAGAATTAGTTTATGCATCATAATATGCGGTGCCATCATATGCTTCATAATAAAATCCATATGGATCAAATACAAGCAATCCATCATTTGATATTGGTACACAATAATAGTCCTAAGGTTTAAATCCAGGATATTCACAACTTAAGCATTTTTTCTCTTAATAATCACAAAATGAGCATCCCTTCCTACATAGAAATTTACATTTATCGCATGAATCTGAATCTCTGAAATTAGCATCATCACATTCTTCAATTCCAATTTTATAACCATCTCCACAAATTTCTTTACATACCCAAGGAAAAGTAGAAACATCTAACTGCCATCCTTTAGTAGCACATTCAGAACATTCTCCTTTAATACATTTAGTACATTCATTTTAACATTAATATTTACAATTATAACATCCATCAAATTGAATATCATTGCCATCTTCACATTCTTCATCACCACCAATAAATCCATCTCCACATACATCACAAGGTAGAATAGTAGAAATATCACAAGTTACACAACTTATTGGACATTAGTATTAACAATTAAAACATTTATCATTTAAAATCGTATTACCATCATCACATTATTCATATCCAACAATTTAAAGATCTCCACATATTGGTATACATTCATTAGAAATTAAATTAAAACCTTAACCACAATTTTCACATAATGTATTATGCCAAATCATTTCACCATTATTACAATATTTATAACATTATAAAAGTTATACATCTATATTTATAGGACATTGAATGCATATATTATCTAATAAATAATATCCTGATTTGCATTCACATTTCAAACCTTTTATTTACTTATTTAATTAAGAATCACAAGTTAAACAACCATCAACTCTATCATTAAAACAAGTTAAACAATTTTAATTACAAAATGTACATCTATTAGATGAAGAATCATAAAAAGAATTATTTGGGCATTTACATGTTGAATTTATTAATTAAATATTTTCTATTTCCACATTGCAATTTAAACAATCATTAGAACTTGGACCAAAACAATTACCACAAAATTTATTGCATAATAAACAAATAACTTCTTAATCTTTTTAATAATAACCATTAATACAGGGACATGACCCATTTGATAATTTTCTATTATTTATAGATAAACATTCAGTACAATAAGTTGAACTTAAACATTAATTGCATTCCTTAGGACAATCAAAACATTAGTTAGATTCTTCATATTAATTTTATTTACAAAAACATCCAAATTAAGTTAAAGAGTAGCTAGGATGTTAACAATTTGAACAATTTAATTTCGATATACATTAAGTACATCTAGATTCACAATCAACACATAAGAATTAATATTCATTAAAATATTGATTGGATTCACATTCATCTTTAGAAAATTAAATTAAACTTGAATCATAAGTACTATTCCATAAAGTACAATTTTTATCATCTATACATTCTAAACAAAAAGGTTAACAGTAATGAATAGCTAAATAAAAATTATATAATCCACAATATTCTAAAGTAACATCATTGTTTGGTCCATAACATTGTAATTCTAATGTTAATATATTAAGAGAATGATTCACTTTATTTGTGATTATTTTTTGTCTTGTACCATTCTGAAAAGCATTTATAATTCCTAATGTTGTAGAGAACTCTTCTTATTCAATCTAATAGATGAATAATCCATCAGGAGGAAAAGATGGACCAAACAAAACATAGAAACCAATTGATATACTATGATGAGGATTTATATTTTAAAAGACTCTTCTAAATCTAGCTTATGCCCAAATGAACTGACCACCAAGAATTCTTTATCCTTCCCAATACGAGAAATATCTATCAGATCCTTTTAAAAAATTTGATCCATTTGTTTACACCAAAGTATATTCAGGGTAATATAAGAAAATATCAATTTATTTAGTATAATCTAATTCAAATTAATTCAAATCCTCTTTTATCAAAAGTTAAGAATCTATTATTATTATTATTAGTATTATTACATGGTGTTTCATCATCAAAATCTTTACAATAATCTACTACCACTTTTTAATATATTCTATTACAATATTGAATACATGTTCCATCTCTATATCTATAACTATTCGAACACTACTTGCATTTGAAATTTACATCACAAATATTACATAAGTCTGTACAGCTATTTGTTGTAAATTAAATTGATTAGAAAGCCCATCCTGAAGATGAATCACTAATATTTAAATTATAATATTTACCTAAAATTGCCTATTGCAGTAAACAATATAGGTTATTTAGGTAAATCAAAAAATCCATCGATTTAATATTTGATAGAACTTTAATAAGAATTATAAGGACCTAAAGAAATAGAAGAGAATTCTTTAAATTAATGTAATTAAACACCAGAACTATTTTTAAATATTGATCCTACATAAGTATTATTAAATTTGAATTAAATTCCACAATCTAAAGGAATCTCATTAAAGACTACTATAAAAATTCTTACCTTCAGATAATATCCATAATTATTTGATATCGGAATTGATCTCATAATTCCAGAATTATAATTAAAAATTCCATATAAAGATTGATTTGAATGATTAAGAACATTTACAGAATCATTAATAAAGTCTGGGTCATAAATTTTTGACCATTATAAATACTCTTTATAACTATTACCATCATTAGGTTTAATTTAATTAACTTGAGCATAACCTATTGTAAAATTAGCTAATATTATAAATCAAAATTACTTGGACATTTATTACAAACTCCATTCAAACATAATGGTTAAATAGAATCACATTTTGATCTACAACCTACGTATTTAACATAGTATTAATTTTGAGGACATAAAGGACAAATACTATTAATTGGTGTTCCATAATAGCAAGACGTACATTAATTTTATTATGGACCTGTACATGTTTTACAAAAAAAATGACAGCTGTAATACATATTATATATATTTCTTATTGAAACTTATCCAGAATTATCTTAATTTTCAATTGTAAATTTAAAATTTCCAGATATCTCATAGGGAATTGTAAAATTAACTGTTTTGATGTCATAATAAATATCGTCGCAAAATTCTTTATTTAATGAATATTATGATGGTGAATTATATTCATAATAATTTGAAAAAGAACCCATAGAAAATATCACCTTGCCATTATTCCAAGTACCTTAAAAATATAAATCAAATGATAAAAATCCTGGAGAAAATTTTTAAAGATAATTGCTTCGACATTAGCAATTATAGCAATAATATTCACATTCCAAACCATAGAATTAAACTTCAGGATAAGTTTAATTCAAAGTTATATAGCTAGTATTAGGATTAATACAACTGATAAAATTAGCAGTCCTATTAAATTACATTGGAATCATAAATGAGCTAGTATTATAGTAAAAGGGGTAATAATAATAAGTTTCTCCAAAGGCTTCTTGAAAAATCTAATTCTAAAATAAAAATCTTCTTGATAAACTCCATTAAGAGTTGACAAGACACATTTACTATAAAAATATAATGAAAAATAATTGAAACATTTATTATTACAATTTAATATCACAATCTTGACTTAAATATCATAAAATAAAGAATAGGAGAAGTAATGTGCAGAAATTTTCTATATATTCTTTTTTCATTTATTTAAAACAAAAATTATTTATTTAATGAAGAAGCATACTATTGATCAAACTAATTCAATTTTTTTAAATTTTCAATAAATTTCTCCTTATTCTTTTATTATTGAAATCTCAATGCTTTTCCATTATTTTGATAGCTTAACCAAATATATCCCAATAGTGGAAATACTATATTGTATTTATAAAACATTTTTAGAAAGTCTAACTAATACATTAAGAATCTCTTTGGAATGAAGGTTATTTTATTTTTTCATTATTTATTATATACCAACAAGGAATAAAAAATATTACAAATAATAGCTTTAACAATGAATAGATCACCACCTCTACTTCAGAACTAACTAAATACTTAATTCTTTTTTTTCATAACATTATCATTTGCAATGTATTTTATATGTATAGAAAGTAGTTTATTTTATTATCAAATCTAGAAATAAGAATAAAAAATATTATGACTAATTTATATATCATAAGGTTAATCTTATATATATTTTAAATATTATAACAAATTTCGATTAAATGTGTTTTATTGATTGATTTTTGACTATAAATTTTTATATTTATGAATAATTAAGTTGCAAATGAGGTTGGTTTAAAGGATTTCTTATAAAAAATGCTTGAATTATATAAATGGACCTCATTTATAAAAACCTTAATAATAATTTTTAATTCATATTAATATAATACTAGAATATTAATATAAGTTTATGCTCTTAACGAAAATGTTAAAAAACACTATTTAAAATATCAACTAAAAATAAAGAAGTCTATCTTTTTTCCAATTTCAATTAATTTAAATTAATGTAAACCTTTTTTATATCTATACTATTTTATTAAAATCAAGAAAAATCTTTAAAAATAATTTAAATATTCAACTTTATTAAAAGATTATTTAAATTGCATAAAACTTTTGAAAAATGCTAAAAGATTCATTTTTTAAGATTAAATAAAATATTGAATTATATTTTATTGAAATTAGAAAATGTTAGTTTAATGAATATTTATAGTTTTAAATTATTTAAGGATAAATAAAGGATGTTTTAAATTATAATAAGTTGATTCTAATTGTTAAAATAGAATTTTTATCAAAAATAATTATAATTTATTGCTAATTTTAGCTCAATTTATATACATAAATAACAGTTATTTGATATTACATTGTAAATATATATAATTCATATAATATTAAAATTATTTTTATTAATAATAAATTTTTCTAAGAATATAAATGTATTTAATTTTATCTATATATTCATATAAAAAAGACATCATACTTAAAATACATTTATTTATTATAGAAATTATTAAAGAATATTTTTTTTAAACTATTTTAGGGTGAGATGATGATTAGTTTACATAAATAGAGAAAGAGGATGATTTAAAATTCATCTAATAATTATGATAATTAGTTAAAGTTAAAATGAAAACTAATATCTTCATATTTTAATATTAATTTATATAAAATTTGAAGATGTAGATTAGATGTACTAAAATTGACCATTAAAATCAGTATATTATAGGAATTTGTGTGGATAGCAATTGTCCGTATTAAAGACCTTATTGTCATTATTGCTTACCTGAACATAATTCACATCTTAATAGATTAATACTTTTAGAATTATTAAATGATTGGATTTTGAAACGAATTCATATTATTGAAGATGTATAAAATAATGTTTAAGAGTGCAAATCAGTACTAGATAATCTTATTAATAAATTTATTCCTTACTTCAATATTAATATAGAATAATCAGGAATCTCTGAGATTGACAATTTAATTAAAGGTTTATGTAAAATGGAAATTTGTGAGTAATAATTATTTAATCTACTCAAATAATCAACTGAATAGATTAAATTAATTATAGATGAAATATTAATAATAATAAAAAGTTAAACAGGAAAAAAGTAGAAAATTGATATATAAGTTTAATAACCTTAATTAATTAAAGAATAAAAGTACCAAGTAAACATGTTATAACCAAAATTAAAGCAATTTACATTTGAATTGATGAAATAAAATACAATTAAGTAAGATGAATGGTGTAATGCAATCGCTTTTAATAAAGATTGTTCAATAGTGATAGCTGGATGTTAAGAGAAAATTAAAGTATTTAAGCATAAAGATGGAAAAATGAATCAAATATAAATATTAAGCAAACATAAAGGTGATATAAATACATTAAATTTTATGAAGAATAATAATAATTTTGTATCAGGAAGTGATGATAAATTAATTATTATATGGGAAATGAATGAAAATAATTTATGGTATTGTTAATAAATATTGAATGAACATTCAAATTTGATATATTGTGTACTATTGAACAATAGTGATGATTTAATTATATCTGGGAGTTGTGATTCTAAAATTAAATTTTGGGTGAAACAGAATTAATGGTTGTGTTAATAAACCATAACAGATCATACTGAAAGTGTATATTCATTAAGTTTAAATGAATAATAAAATAAACTCATTTCTTGTTCATGGGATTTATAAATTTTAGTAATAGAATAATCTTAATCAGCAAAAAAGTGGAATGTTATATAAAATATAGAAATAGATTAGGATGGATTTAGATTATGCTTTATAAATGATTATTAATTTATATTCTAACCTAAATTTAAAGAATAAATGCATATATATGAAATAGATATCAATACTAAATAGTTTCAGAAGACTAAGGAAATTACTTTTAAATGTTGTTCAGATGATTATTGTTTCTTTCCATCATAATATTTAAAGTCTTAATCTTTGCTTTTAAATAAAAATGGTAAAAATGTTTATGTAATTTAAAAAAATGAAAATGGTTACTTTACTATTGAGTAATCTATTGAATTTGGAGATTTTGGAGTTTATGGATAATTAAGTGATGATGGAAAGTTTTTAATCACTTGGGACAATAGTTCAAAAGAAATATAAATAAGATAATGTTAGGAAAAATGAAAAAGAATGAATTATAATTAAATTATTTAAAAAAATAATTTAAAGAGATATTTAATTTTTATTATACTGATTGATTTAAATTTAAACTTAAATCTTAAACAAATTTTTATAATAATCACCATTGAAAATTATTCATTTTTATATAGTATTTATAAGAAAATTTAATGCAGAAGCCAGGGTAAAAGTAGAGTCATTTTAATATTATTTAAGAAATCTTATTAAATATATTTTAAGACATATATAGAATAGTTTGGCCAAAATTCTATTTAAAGTTTATTTTTATTCTTTTTTGAAATTTGATTTCTTTCAATATATTCTTCTACTTCTTTACAGAAAATATGACAAAACTAAAAATTCTAAAAATTTGCTTTTTAATATCTCTTTATAAATTTATAAAATATTTTGATTGAATAAAAAATAATTATTGATCCAATTATATTGAGTATATATCTTTTAGTTTTTATACTTTAAAGAATAGTATTTACTGAGTAAATTTAATTATATAAAAATAAATAATTCACAAATAAATGTAAAAATTAAATCTTAAAAATTTCTTCTAAAAGTTTAAATAAATAATAAAGATACAGGCAATAAAAAATATAAGTAGAATATTTAGTGATTTATTACTAAATAGGTATCTCATATTCATATTTTTAAAATTAAATATAAAGTGGATTAAAGGGATGAAGTTAATTTTCACTTTAATAACTCATGATATTATCGTCTTTAAAAATTATATATGATATTTCCTTTGAATTTAAACCAAATGATCAGATAGATTTATAATTTTATTTTTTATAATAGTAAAAATCTAGTTAATTACTATTTTAAAGGATTGTGATCAATTTCAGTTATATATATCAAGTTGATAAAATAGATTCCATTTCTCTTCGCAGTCTTAAACAATTGTAGTAAAAGTTAAAAATCATATAAAACAAAATCTGTTTTCAACATTTTAAATTCCTGATTTTAGATTATGTTATATAGTTATATTTTATTTAAAAAAATTATATTATTCTTTATAATTTTTAGAATACTCATGAATATTGTAAAAAATAGATACCCTAAAATTAAGAATATTTTTAATCATATTAATGTAAAAAATTTGATTCTAAATGTTAATTTCAATATAAATTATTTATTATATTATAGTAAATTATATATTTTAAAACTAATTTATACATTATTCATTTTGAGGAGCATATATTAAAATAAATCTTATGAATGTTAACAATTCTTGAAATCTTAATAAGATTACAAGTTCACTGAAATTTGGACTCAAAAAGAATTGAATCTAAGAAATCAATAAATCTTATTTTTGTATTCGTTTATAAGTGACATTTTTATTTGCATAAAATAAATTCTAATAATAAATAAATTTTTGTAGTGACAACTATTTAAACAGGTAAATATTGAATATTATTATTAATCAATTTTAATATAAATAAATTACATAAAAAATTATTGAGTTAATAAATTCTTTTAAATTATATTTAATTTTTAGTAATTCATGTTATGCTTTACAAAATATAATTTATAATACATCCAACTCTGACTAACATAACCTATATATAAATGTAGTAAATATAATAAATCCATATACAAATTGAAAGAATAACAAAAAGGAAAAAAATATTAAATAAAATTAAAAAATTAATTAGAAGATATTCATATGATAATATAGAGCCGGATGACAAAAGAATATGATTAAATTACTATTTCATTTAAGCAATAATTAATTAGTGATTTGTAATTAGAAGAATGTCGAAGTTGCTTACAATTATCTAATAAATAAGTTGCATTTATTAGATTGCTAAAATTTGTTAATTACTGAAAAATTTCATAAAATTTTTCAATTAATTTTTGAATTTATACTTCCATTGAAAAAATTTAATAAACAAACTTGATTATTAATTAATGTTACATTTAATCAATATTTATTAATCATGATTTATTTTCTTTTGCTTTTTTAATCAGCATTAGGTACAATAATAAACTTTTCACAATGGATGGCATTAGCTGATGGATCCTTTAGTTGTTCAAATGGAATTCAAAAGACAAAAATAGTTTCATTTCCAGATTCTTTTGATACTATCCCATAAGTTTTTATTATAGTCACAAAATTGGATTATTATTCTTCGTCTGAATTTAAGATAAGAATAGAGAGTATCACCACAACAGGTAAAAATAAAAAATAAGTATTAATTTAGGTTTTACTATAAAATATGAATGTATAGGAGAAAGAATTTGGTCACTTTATGTAAATGTTTTTGCTTTTAGTGAAAAAAGATTATAAGTATTCAACAATTTTAATATGGAAAATCCGACAGATGTCATATTTACAAAAAGTGACTCAAATTAAGTTAATGCTTATATATCAATTCTTAGTTTAGGAATGACTGGACCTCTTGATTTTAATTTACAGGTTTAATCATATACTAATTGTAGATAATTGATTTAAACCCTTATGAATTTAAAGTAGCTCTTGTATAGGATCCTGCAAGAGCTGCAAACCTTAAACAAATTGGATATTAAGTAATTGTTGGAACTGAAGAATCACTAAAACTTTATTAAAAATATACATGTACATCTACTTGTACTTCTGCAATGAACACTAAATCAACATACCTTTAGTACTTGTTTGCTTTACAAGGATTCCGTTATGAATACACAGACAGCATAAGATTAGAATTTTCATATTTAACATCAGGATAAAATGAGTATTATAGATTATAGTAAAGTATTTATTTTGTTATATCTAAGTCTCTGGGTTATATACTTAGAATATTAATTAACCAGGTCATTATAAATTTGATGGTTTTACAACATAACCTTCTGAATATTCTTGCTTTACTTTAAGAATTAGCAGAAAAGAGATTCTTAATCTTGATTAATAATCATAAATCTTAATAAACATAATTGATATGAATAAATCATTTAATGCTTTAGGAACTTTTATCTAAGATATTAATAAATAGATTAGTCCACTTTAAATCTTATTTTAATTTAAATGTATTCAAGGAAAAAAAATTAAAGCTTAATTTAATAAATGTTCTACATGCGTTGGTCTTAGCAAAAGTTATAATCAAAATTAAGTTTGCTATAACAACAAACAAATTATTTCATTCTATCCAAAATATAATACAGATGCTTTTTACAAAGGTAATTTAAGAATATTAATTGAAAATTCAAAAATTACAATCACATAACTATTATATGATCGTCAAGTAGTTATCGCTATGATAGAATATTTAGATTAATGAAATAAAATTTAAAATAATAATAATATATCAAAATTAATTGATAATTTTTTTGAGTTAGGATTGCTCTTTAAAATTTAATAATTTATTCATTATATTATGATAAATTTATAAATAGATTGAAAAGAAGAAAATTTATATTACATCATAAAATATATATATAAGGACTTTGATGTAAAGAGTTGTATTTTATAAATGAGGTTCAAAATTTTTTGTTCTTTTCTCTATAAATTATTATTGATGTTTTTATTCATTTTACAAATTCTTTTTATGCATAAGCCAATAATTTGAATAATAAATAATTAAGGCTTTGTTAATTTTAAATGAAAACATATTAAGAGAGATACTCATTTTAGCAAATATTTTAAAAATAGATCTATTTTATTTATTTATAAGAATTTTAATATTAAAAATAATAATATGAAAAACCTGAAAATGAAGCAAAAATAAGATTTTCATTAAATTAACAGTTTTCATTTCCTAATCTTGTTTCAAATATTGACATAAATGTATTAATATCATGCCAATTAGTTAGATAATGAACTTAAATAAATTTTAAAGCCTTTTTTAAGAAACAAGTAATTAGAAAGAAATATCTTAAAAGTAGCATCCATCATTGTAGTTGAATAAGATATTAATAGGAACAATAATTAAAATTATTTGATGACTCCTTATAGAATAATAATATTTAAGATTCAGCATATAATTTTAAAGGTGTATATTTTTTTATAATATTTTAACAATCAATTAATATATTTTACNTTTTACAACATAACCTTCTGAATATTCTTGCTTTACTTTAAGAATTAGCAGAAAAGAGATTCTTAATCTTGATTAATAATCATAAATCTTAATAAACATAATTGATATGAATAAATCATTTAATGCTTTAGGAACTTTTATCTAAGATATTAATAAATAGATTAGTCCACTTTAAATCTTATTTTAATTTAAATGTATTCAAGGAAAAAAAATTAAAGCTTAATTTAATAAATGTTCTACATGCGTTGGTCTTAGCAAAAGTTATAATCAAAATTAAGTTTGCTATAACAACAAACAAATTATTTCATTCTATCCAAAATATAATACAGATGCTTTTTACAAAGGTAATTTAAGAATATTAATTGAAAATTCAAAAATTACAATCACATAACTATTATATGATCGTCAAGTAGTTATCGCTATGATAGAATATTTAGATTAATGAAATAAAATTTAAAATAATAATAATATATCAAAATTAATTGATAATTTTTTTGAGTTAGGATTGCTCTTTAAAATTTAATAATTTATTCATTATATTATGATAAATTTATAAATAGATTGAAAAGAAGAAAATTTATATTACATCATAAAATATATATATAAGGACTTTGATGTAAAGAGTTGTATTTTATAAATGAGGTTCAAAATTTTTTGTTCTTTTCTCTATAAATTATTATTGATGTTTTTATTCATTTTACAAATTCTTTTTATGCATAAGCCAATAATTTGAATAATAAATAATTAAGGCTTTGTTAATTTTAAATGAAAACATATTAAGAGAGATACTCATTTTAGCAAATATTTTAAAAATAGATCTATTTTATTTATTTATAAGAATTTTAATATTAAAAATAATAATATGAAAAACCTGAAAATGAAGCAAAAATAAGATTTTCATTAAATTAACAGTTTTCATTTCCTAATCTTGTTTCAAATATTGACATAAATGTATTAATATCATGCCAATTAGTTAGATAATGAACTTAAATAAATTTTAAAGCCTTTTTTAAGAAACAAGTAATTAGAAAGAAATATCTTAAAAGTAGCATCCATCATTGTAGTTGAATAAGATATTAATAGGAACAATAATTAAAATTATTTGATGACTCCTTATAGAATAATAATATTTAAGATTCAGCATATAATTTTAAAGGTGTATATTTTTTTATAATATTTTAACAATCAATTAATATATTTTACATTATAAAAAATTCTCAGTTAATTGGTTATAATATAAATTCAATTAAAAAATTATAAAATTATAAAGAGAATGAAATTATAATCGGATTTGATACCTAAACTTTGAAGATAATTAAATGAATAAATTAAAAATTGAATTAAAATAATTAAATTGATATTATTAAATAAATTTTAGTTTTATTGAAGACATAAAAATAATGCTTCAGGATTTGAATTCTTTGTATTTTCTTATTTATATTTATTCAGAATTTACAGCCCATGTTAGTAAATATTCACCATTTTCATTAAATGCGCCATATAATTATTCATTTAAAAAGTTTATAGTTTGTATAAGTTTAATTTCCTTATTAGGCAATATAGTAAATAAATTTATATATTATCCACTTTTGCACATTAAAATAGATTTTGATTAAATAAATTACCAAGGAAATAAAATATCATCAAATGAATAATTCTATTGAATTTGAACATCATTAGTTTTTGTAAATAGATTATTTAATAAATTATTTTCATAAATATTTAAGTAAGTTGACTAAAAAGATTGAAATGTAAATCTACTATTATCTATAAAACATAGTCTATATCCCCATTATTGAACTTTTATATTTTAAAATAAGCTCCAAATTTAATTATTTTTTTAATATAATTTAATATAATTATCTTCTTCTGCACAAGAAATCAATAGATTTTATTTAGGATTTAGACTTAATGATAAGATATCTACATCTACTTTATGTTCAATCAATGTTTAAATACATTACCAATCTTTCATCTCATTAAAAACTTTAAAGACATTGATTTAAGATTTTCGATTTCCTGTAAGGATTGTATTATTGCTATTATCTATAATTAAACTCAATATTGAAGATGATTATCCATCTATTTTAAGGCTATTATACCATTTATTTTAAGGATCAATTGACCATATATTAATTATTGCATCTTGACCTCCTGAAATAAATTAATTTACTTTTTTCATAAATTATAAACAATAAACAGCATCTTTATGATTTTTCACTTCATCTTTTTTTTTTATAACTTCATTTATAAATTCATATATTATAATTACACCATTCTCTAATCCATTTACTATAATGGATGAATCATCATTAAAAGCAAATGAACAACATCTTAATTTTGAATTTATAAAACTATTTTATATTAATTCATATTAAAATTATTATGAAGCTATTTCTTACGAAGGAACTTCTAACATATTTATTTTTAATTCTTCAATGCAATCTTATAAACTTAATTTATATTATTAAGATGTTTTATTGAAAATATTTAATAATGTTTTTTTTTTCTCTCCAAACTTTACAAAATTGAATATAGCATTATTAATATGATTGGAATTTAATTATTTGAGATTTCTCTCAGAAATTTAATATTTTTAAACAAGATCATTTTTAAATTGTTCGAACAATTATTGAATTTCTGTAAATAATATATCTAACTATTCAATCATTTCTTAACATTATATTGAAATATCTTTAAAATAATTAGGAAGCAAATCTATCTTTTCTGTGTTATCAATATGATCTATATGCTTCTATTGTGTTCTTACACATTTTTCAAAACAAAATAATCTATTCTCTTTACAAAATTCATTTTTACAAAACCTATCTGCAATCTATTAATTGCAATTAACACATGTGTATGAAAGCATAATAAATTATTTTATTGAATTTATATTAATCTAAAAATTCTTAAAAATAATTTTATTTCTATTAAAAGAATTCTTAATATAGTGTCTCAATGAAAATGCTTAAATGTATAAAAATTAGATTATTTGCAATAAGAACAATTTATAGGAAAAGTAATTATTTTATTAATTACGGATTTATAAGGGATTTAGAACAAATTATTCAAATTACTATCTTATATCTATATCTCGAAATTAGTTCCTATAATGCAATAAATTAACTAAATAACCAAATTTTAAATTATTAGTAATTGTCTTAAGTTATTAGCAAAAATAAATAAAAGGAATCGAAAAATATAAAATAGAAAACAAAAAAGCTGAAATAAATTTATGAATATATTAAAATGCTTTGCATAATTAGAATTCATAATCAGCAATAAATATTATTTTTTATTTTACTTCATAAGAAAACATGTTTATCAAATTAAAAATTGTTTTGAAATCAACAAGAGAAGTATATATCAAAGAGTAATATTTAAATGGTTTAAGTAAAACAATATAATTCAATTCATGAATTTATTCAAAATTAACTATAATATAATAAATGAAGAAATATACTTGTTTATGGATTTGGAAATTAAAGTGAACTTATATAAAACAATAAATAATAAATTAAACAATTAGATTCTTTAGAAAAAATTGAAAATATATTTTAATTATTTATACAATTATATATTTTAATATTTTCTTATAATATTCAATAAGACTTCATTTGAATTATAAATTTGAGCATAATCAAATATCAATTATAATTAAAAAAAACAATAAATAGTAAATATAGAATCCTTTTATTTCTTAAGGATAATGAATTATTAGATGAATGATGATGATAAAATAGAAAATACAAATATCAATTAAAATGAAGAAACAACTGAAGTAGGAAATATAAATTATCAAATAATTTCAAAATAAAAGTAGAGAAGGTGGGGAGGAGCATTAGCTTTTAATAAAAGCGGGAATCTATTAGCAGCTGCATCAAAAAATGATGTTAAAATATGGAAATTTGAGAATGGAATTTTAACTAATCCTTAATTTTTAAAAGGGAACTCTGTGATTAGAATAATAAAATTTGGTTAATATTCAGATTTTTTGGTAGGTGGTGGTAGTGATGAGAAAATAATGATTTGGGAATTGTGGAAGAATAATTGTAAAATTAATACATAATTAATTGGACATAATGGAAGAGTGAGTGCTATTATAATTAGCAAAAAAGATGATTCAATAATATCATCTAGTGAAGATGGGACAATCAAAATTTGGATAAATAAAGATTATTAATGGTAATGTAAAGAGACTTTGAAGTGTATGACTGGACCAATTTATAGTGTTGTTGAAAATTCTAATTCAGATATATTGGCTTCATGTTCAGAAAATAAAACTATAACTTTATGGAAATAACAAAGAATAATTACTAATAATTAATTAGAATGGAGAAAATTTTAGCGTATCAGAAATGAAGATTATGGAACTAAAATTTGTTTTATTGGTCATGATAAATTAACATGGCAGCCTACTAGTGATGGATAATTATGCATATTTCAAATGAATCCAATGAATTTCCTTTTTGAAATAAAGAAAAAAATAATATTAGGATAAGGAAATTATGATTTCCATTATTTTTAATCAATTTATTCAGATATTAGTCGTTTGCTTATTGTAAGACATAAGTATAGAATATATTTCTTAACAATGGATGAAAATTAGGAATTTTAATTATAATAGACTTTAATATTTAGTACAAATTGGAATTTTGCAGCTTTAAGTCCAAATGAAGAATATTTTGTTACATGGGATTTTTAAAGTCAAGAATTTCAGGTTAGATTAAGAAATTAAATTAATCAATAATGAATTATTGAATCTTTAAATTATAATAAATATTTATCATTTCTTGTTAAATTATTTTATAGTGTAATAATCAATATATAAATATTAATTTATTGGCTCGATATAAATTTTTAACTTTTTAGATCTTTTTTTTATAATTAATTGTGGAATTCTTTAAAAGGCTTATTTTCGACTATCTGAACTAGTATTATGATAATCGATTATTAAATAGATTACATCTCGTATTACTAAATATGTATATTTATGTTAATAAATATACGATTACAAATATATTCATTACAACCTTTTTTTCAGATTTACAAATGACTATATCATTTACAAAAGTCTTTCGAAAATTGAATTTAAGGTTGAGTTATTAATTAATATAATGCCATAAAATAATTTAAAATAAAAAAAACATTTATTTCAATATTATTATTATTTGATAAGATATATTAGAAATTCTAATTAATTAAAATGTGTAATTCAAATGTGAATGGTTAGGTTCTAAAAAAATTAAATATAGTATATAAAAAAAAATGTTTAAGAACTTAACGAAGTTGGCCTGCTGCTTAGGATTACTTAATGGGACGTTTGTAGTGTGTTCTTAATTAAGGAATGAAAATGGGCATAATAGAAATGAACAATACAATTTTCTAAGTGAAAACGAATTAAATAACTTAATGATGAGGCATAAAAATTTATGGATTCTGAATAGAAATCAAACAGAACATATTCTTTCTTTGATGAGAGATACTAATGCTGATATAGTGGTAATTAAATATTAAGATACTTTAAGACTTTCCGTAAGAATGCTGATCGATTAATAAGAATCTTGATGGAATAAGCTTTATGTCATATAGAGAAAAAGAAATAAATAAAATAATCTCCTTTGGGATTTTATGAATCAAATGAAGTGAAATATAATGAAGAAGAGTATATATATATATATATATATATATTTAGAATATGTATAGTAAGTATACTTAGATCAGGGAATGCATTCTTAAATGAAGGTTTAAGAGTAATATCTGGAGCATCAATAGGATAAATATTGATATAAAGAAATGAAGAGACATCAATGCCAAAATATTTTTTTGAAAAGCTTCCAGAAGATATAAATGAATAATAAATTATTTTAGTTGATCCAATGTTAGGAACAGGAGGAAGTGCAAGTATGGCATTAAAAGTATTATAAACTAATGGTGTAAAGGAAGAAAATATTATATTTTTAACTTTAGTTAGTTGTGAATAGGGATTAAATAAAGTATTTAAAGAATTTCCAAATATTAAAATAATAACAGCTCAAGTTGATCCAGTATTGATATAGAACATTAATTACTTAGCACCTGGAATAGGTGATTTTGGAGATAGATATTTTGGAACTGTTAAAAAAAATAAATGTGGGCTTAAGCTTTGAATATTAATAATTATTATGTTATGTTATTTAATGTAATTCTATTAATTGAAATGGATATTATATATATACAAAGAATTCGATATCATTTTAACACTTATATATATATATATATGTATATATATTTGTATTTGATTAATAATCATATTAAATCTTAATTGAATATATTTAGAGACTATATAAAATGAAAAAAGAAATAAAAAATTCAATAAATAATTAAATAAATCAATGTAGTTTGTAGCTTAGTTTAATATGATTGAAAAAGTAGAAGATTTAGTTTGTGTTGATCATTAGAAATATCCTAAATTTATTTTGGTTAATGAGAATTTAGATTTAAAAAAAAGATTGGTTTGCGAGGATTGTTTGAAAGCAGGACAAGTAGGAATACAACCAAAAACATTAGATTAAATGAAACAAATTATTATAGAAAGAGTCAAAAAAAGAAATGAATTACCTAATTCTCTAATTTTAGAAACAATTAAATAGGCAGAAAACACTAAGCAAACAATTTTAGATATAGAAAGCAAAATTCATTCATAAATTGAAACAATCAAATCAACAGCTGAGAGATTAATCTCTGCTCTCAATAAAGTTAAATAAGAAAACTAAAATTATAGTTTTTTTACAGAATTAAATGACTTTGTTCACAACTAAGAAAAATCACATGAAGAAATGGTTAAGACAATTCAGTAATTCAATATAAATTGGTTTGGAAAGATTAAATTAAAAATTAAAAACCTTCCATAAGATCTTGATAAACTTTTAGAGAAAGTTAGAACAAATACACAAGAATTTTATTAAAAACATTATGATATAATACATAAACCTCTAGAATTTGAATTGATTGAAAATAATAACATTAAATAAAGAGATCCTTGTTATACATTGGCTTTTAGTAAGAGCGATAATAATGTATTATTTAGTGGTTCTGGAAAATAGATTAAAGTTTGGAATTTTGATAAGGGTAAAATTAAAGAAGTTGCAAGGTTAAATGCTCATATTTTATCTGTAACATGTATTGTGACAAGTAATAAAGTAAAAAATAGTTTTGTATCAGGTTCAGAATGTGGTTAACTTATTATTTGGAAATAAAAAACATAATAAGAATGGGAATCATAAATTTAGAAATCTTAATGGCCTAATTCAATTATTTTAAACAAATATGAAACACAATTGATAATAGCAACTGCTACCAGTGCTATAGAAATTTGGGATGTTGATTTTAATTAAAATAAATTAGCATTTAAATATTCATTAGATGATTTTCATACTAATACAATATTTGATTTAAGTCTTAATCCATAAGAAAATAGAATGGTTTCATGTGGTGATGATAATAAAATAATTGTTTGGAAGAAAGAAAAAGAAGATCCAGAATGGACAGTATTTTAAGAAATTAATTCATCTAATTATGGAACTAAAGTTGCTTTTATTACAGATTAATCATTTATTTGGATGAGATGTGATTCTAAAGGAGAAGATAAATAAATTAATGATAAAGATAGACTTTAACTTTATGAATTAGTCAATAATTAGTATCAAATTAATCCTTTCAAATTTTATTAATTTGACAAAGATGAAAAATTTATTGATTTTCACCTCACTCCAATCATCTAAAATAATAAAAAATAGGTATATTTTATAAGATTCAAGCGATCAATATATATCTTAAAGTTGGAAGTCTAAGACTTCTAATTAGTAACTAAACTTAAATTTGAATCAAACTTAATTTATGCAACATTGTCTGAAGATGCATAATATTTGGTTGTCTATTTAGAAGACAAATAACAGTATTAAGTACATCAAATAAAATGGAATTGATCATATCAATAATCCAATATTATCAATATCAATAATATTATATTTAGTGTAAAATCTACATTTGACATTCTTAAGTATTTTTGTTCCTATTTTTCTTATCTCTTTAGTTTATTTAAAACCTAGCTTAGTACCAAATCAGTTTAATATGCCTTAAAGATTTAAAGAAAAAAACATCTTTTCTATTTTAAATTTGATTAGAAACTCAAGGTTTTTATAAAAAATTTAATATAAATTCATAATAATTTTTATAATAAAAAATGATAATGACAAAAATTAAGTATTTTTGTAAAATAACATTAATTCACATCATTTTTATTAATAAAGAAAGTGATATCATCATTTTTGATTTTATTTATTAGATAAATAGATATGAAAATTCAGTCTTTTTTTATTTGATTTTGAAAGATAATGAAACAAGAAAATTATTTTTTAATCTCTAATGACATGGCACCGAGAAAACGATGAATTAAATAAGTATTCTAAAAAATATTTATAATACATGATATTATAATGATTATAATTTCTGTATTATTCTTCTACTTAAATTTATCAACATATAAAATCTAAAGGTTACAAAACTGAAATATATAATAATATATTTATAATTATAATTATTTCATTCAGGATTATATCCTTTAAAAAACTATTTGATCTGATCTACTTTAAGGCTCTTAAGATAAGAAAAGAAAAATGATTCTTCTTTTTTATTTTAAAAATACCCTTTTCCTCTAATTTATTTTTTTGCTAATCTTAATCTTTAAGTCAACTTGGATCTCCTGTCTGCACTTTCTGGCAATGATACTAGGTATACATTTTAACCAAGGAAAGTGTCTAATTATAATTAAGTTCTTTTATGAAACCAATTAATATTTAACTAGAGAGATTTTCTCATATTGAGGAAAGTTTATTAATATATTCTAAATATGTATGAATTATTAGTTTTTTAAACTTGATAACCTTTTGCATTAACAACTTCATCAATAGCAAAATCTCCTATCATTAATAAATCAATAGCAATTGCAAGTTCTATATATTAATTTTTATATAAAATGTCAAGTAATTTTATAGTATTTCTTTAAAATAGTTACATATCTCTTTAATTATAGTTTACTAAATTTTTTCTAGTTTTTTCATTTTTCTTTCTATATTCATTCAAATTGTATCCTGTAAGACTTATATTACATTTATCAGCAAATATTTTAAAAGCTTCAATTTTGAAGGGTTTTTGGCTATAAAATTCAATGTATTTGATAATATGTTTTGCCTAAATTCTTTTAACATCCTTCATTAATAAATAGTAAAAGAATTCTGCAATTTCTTCAGTATATTTAGTCTGTTTATCCATTGGTAAATACATATATATTTTGGCTTTTTCAATATTGTTCTTAAAATATTCAAGCAATTTGTTGATGATTATTTTATAATCTCTATGATTTTAAAGGGTATTCTCATATTTTTCAGCCATTTTTAAGTTCCAAACTTAATTTAAAACATCATTAATATCTAAAACAATCTCAAGGTTTTAAAATTCTTAGTTTAGATTTTCAAAATCGTATTAATCTTAAAGAGTTTAAGATATTCCATGATCTTTCTAAGCAGAAGAATCCGATGGGTGATCAATCGATATATCATATACATTTGTTGAATCCATTAAAATAATTTATAAGATCTTTTCAAATACTTTAAACCTGTTGTTTATCTAAATATTATGTTACTTTTCCAATTATATTGATACATTTTATTTGTAATTAAATTTATACAATAAGTATTAAACATAATTTAATTCTTATATTAGTTATACTTAGAACAATAAATAAAATCCATTTAAGAATAGTATCTATTTAATATTAAATAATGTGAGATAAATTAATTATTGTATAACAAAGTAACTTTTCAAGAATAAAGGTTTACTTTATGAAGAATGTCATTTTACAAAACAAATCGACTCAATAAAAGAAATGAGAAGAGGGGATTTAAGAAGGAAATCACATATATTTAGATGTAATCTGAATATTAAAAACTTTATTAGTTATGATAATTTGATCAAAAATTCTGGAATTATAAAATGATATTAAATAGAGTTGAGTGTAATGTAATCCTCCTAGAAGAGCTGAGATATTATTATGGAAATTTATTCTCAACTTGAATTTGATGTAAAATTTACTAATTAATAACATAAATAAATTTTGTATTAAATATTTTATATTAAATAAAGAATTACAATTAAAACTCTTTTTACAAATAAGTTTGAAGATATAATTGAATCTATTTAATTAATAATATATATTAATATTTTGAATATTGAATCGACTCATTCTATAAATTGTCTGATCTAAATAGAACCTGATCTATCATCCCATGTGATCAAGTATTCTCCATCATCTGTCATCCTACCAAAAATAGCTTTAGTCTAGAAATCTATAGATTAGATTGTAACAAAATCATTATTAGAATCTTTTTTGATTAGATTGACGCAGCATCCATTTTTGTTTAAAATTATCTATTTAGATTAGACATACTATTAAGGAAAGAACCAAAAGCAACTTCTATTCTTTTTTCTTTCACTTCCTACTCCGACTAAGACTTCTTAAGTTTTAACAAATAATTATTCAACATTATCCAAATGATAAATATGCATTTATTCTTTCTTTTCAGGTTAAAAAGCAAAGATAATATCATTAATGAAACATAATCGCCTTCCCCATTATTTAATACGTATTGTTTATCCTAGAATCCACATCTTTTATACTTAATCATATTAATGTATCAATATTTAACTGTCCTTTGAACAAGAAATTAAGGAATTTCCTGATTCATTTAAACTAATACAACTAACAAAACTAGAATGTCCTCCTATTGTTTATGAACATTCCCATAATTCATTCTCTTTTGTCCAAAATTTTATTAACATATCATCACTACTAGATATTAAAAGATCTTCATTTTTATTCATTACTAAACAATTAATTCCTCCTTAATGTCCTTCTAATCTTTATTTTAAATCCCATTTCTAATCATTATTTAAATAACTAATTGAAATACTTTTATCACAACTACCTGATAAAAATTCATTTGTTTTTTTCATAAAATATTGACAATAAATACTTTTCTTATGAAAGTTCAGCTATTAAATCATCTTTAATTAACCCTTTTTAAAATTAAAAACTTGTATTTTACTTGATTCATACCCTCCTACCATTAAAGAACCATCCTAATTAAAAATAAATGAGTTTATTTATTAATCTTAAATCTAATCTATCAGATCAAATTTTAAAGTTTTTATTTCCTATTTTACTTTTTTTCCAGGACGATCATACTATTATTATGTGAATTCATTAAGTCCTGTATACATAGTTTCTATCATATTCTCTGCATTCTTTTAAATTGCTTATATTAAAGATTATTTTTCTTTTCTAAATTTAATCTTAGAACAAAGTAAATCATTTAATTATATTAAATTCAAACCATTCAACTCTTCCTCACTTATCTAATAACCAAATTTCAACTCTTCTTTAAATGTAAAAAATAAATGAAAAATTTGATCAATCATTTTCTCAAGGTCTTAAACTAAATCTTCATCACTTCTATTTATTTATTCTCTTCCATAATCCTTTATTTTCTAAACATCTTTAATATGTGTATTATGTTTCTCATTTTACAAACACTTAAAACAAAATATTCTAAAATCTTTGCAATATTCATTCGTACAAAGGAATTCAACATCCGTCTCATGGTCTGGAATATTGCAATTCTAATTCATTATTATTTATTTTTATTATCTTTATTCTTCATCAATTACATTCCTTCATGGATCTCAAAATTTGGTAAACATGTATGGTATTATTTTACTTATTTATAAATTAATCCTTATAAAATAATTTATCTTCACTTGATATAATTTTTTTTTTTCTCTAATCTCTAAGAATTTATTCCATCATTTCATATTAGATTTCTCTTTTAAGATAGAAATGCTCAAAATACCTTTTAAATAACTTAATAATTTTTAAAAATTAAAAAAGCTAGTATTAACTTAATCTTTGAATATATGTCGAAATTAATTTCTGGACAATTTACTTTATTCTATTTCGTTTAAAATTTTGTTTGAAAAATACAAACATTATTTAAATTCTTATTACTAAATGGCAAGAGACAAATATTTATAGATATGATTAAAATTAATTAACATTTATTTATCTAATTATCAATAGGGTTTTTATAGATTAATCCATTATTAATTATAATTAAATATTATAAATTTTTTCGAATAACTTATCCATAATAGATCGCAAATTTAATATTCTCCAGGGATTTGTTAACAACAAACAATATTTTGAATGAGAAATATAATTAAAAGTGATATTATATTATTAAAAAAGGTTAAATAAAGGGATTTTATATTTAAAGATTGATAAAAATAATAATTATAT